CGATGCTGAAGATATCAGCATCGTTCGAGGTATCACAAGTGAGAACAGTAATGTTCTCGCTGAATTAGTAACCGATATCTCTGCAGTGCTTCACAATGTACTGCAGCTAAAAGCAACGAGTCAGCTGAGGATTTCCTGCTGACTCGTGAAGCGGTAGTCCGTTTCGTGCAAGACTCCATCGCAGAAGCGGTGGATAAGCAAAAGCAAAACGCAGACAATAATGGAAGGGCAAATGCTCAAACATTTATTGAAGGTGATTTAGTTTTACTGTCAACAGTAAACCTACCTAAACATGTAGTGACTAACGTGGGAAGCAATAAATTGTTGCCCAAGTACATCGGCCCGTTTCGTGTATTGCGCCGTCTAGGCAACGCATACACGATCGAGTTGCAACGTAGGATGCGTACGCATCCTACGTTTTACGTGGGACGTCTTCGTCCATACGTTCAGTACGCGGCTTCTTCGAACGACGAAGATAGCCATTACTCTCAAGAATCCCCTTCCGATTCTTGTTTTCACGAACCCGATTCGATACCTGGTCTTGAAGAGATGAGATCGTCCCATGATATTGGACGATCTCCTGACGAGCTGTCGCCAGCTCGTTACTTAGAGAATGAAGTCGCCGTTCATTCTACAATAGTGCGACAGCATTGTTTGCCCGAGACCTCTCATGGTCAAACCCAAGCTGTCGCACAATGTCCTCTATGCGGCGACGCTTATCCCGTTCGTGATCAACATCACAACGGAGCTCACGAGTAACACGGGCAAACCCGTCTAACTCAGCAGCCAAGTCCGATAAAAGATTCGGACAGGGTTTTTCCTCCACCACCGCATCCGCTGGTGGACTCCCATGGTGGGAAGCGCTTCCTCGTGGAACGCTTACTAAAGCACCGCGAGGTGAAGGGACGTCGGACGAGTTATCTCGTCCGGTGGCGTGGCTATCCGCCTTCGGCGGATAGCTGGGAACCTCGGGCCCAACTGATGGCCGACGTTCCCGGCCTTGTCGAACAGTACGACAAGGGACACCCGTGGTGAAGGACCATCGGAAAACGAACGCGTAAAGGGATTGCAAAGTAGCAATCCCTTCAAGCATTTCAGAAGAGATGCGAGCCCTCCGCCAGGGCTCAGTAAGGAGGTACGCCTCCTTAGGTGCTCTTGACGAGGTGCTCAGGCACCCCGGGCATGGGTCGCCCCAAGAGAGGCATAACAGGCCTGCCTCTCTAGATAACCGGTGCAAACGATAGCATGCACCGGACGTACTTCGTTTCTCAAACTTATTGCGGCTAGCATAAAGTCTTTGAGCCCAAGCCTCTTTCCCAACGTTTAAAACGTTGGTGATAAACGCGTTCCAAGATTGGAGGAACGCCTCAGCCTCACGCTTCTTGTGTGGGCCATACCATCGATGTGCAAGAAACACATCGATGCAATAGTCGTTCTCAGTGCGAAAGTTCTTCGCACTGGCGTCAAGGCCGTGAAACTTTGACGCATCAAACAGCGGTCTGGAGAACCGTTCGTTGGTCTTTCCAGACCAACGATCAAGCAGATGCTTAGATAGCATCCATGGCTTACGATCAGGAGCAAGACGCAATACTTTGCGGTCTGAAGCCTCCTGCGTGGTGTCAATAGAAGTACCGACACCATGTCAACAGAAGTACCGACACCACGTGTATTGATGTCAGTAGAAGCACTGACAGCACCCTTACGATCCCCACCCGAGTCACTATCCCTCGACTCGTTTGGCGAGTCGTCTGATTCATCAGACGACCCGAACATTTCACGGTACATTGATTCACTCAATGTACCCCGATCCCTCTTCGTAACATTCGACGACGAGGTATATCCCCGGGGAGAGCTCGGGAGTGACACAGGTGGCTTTGAGTCGGATGCGTCATCCGACTCACCAGAGTAGTCAACGACTAACTCTGGGTCAACATCTTCACGCGGCGAAGCGCTACGTGAACCTGCAACAGGCGTTGCAGGCTGATGTTGACTTCCAGCAGACACTAATGTGTTTGCTGGCTGAGGCTGTGAAGCCTCAGTAGCGGCTGCACACAGGCGTGCAGCCGAGCTCTTAGCTACCTTAGCAGCGACGCGCATTGACTTTGTCATAGCGTAATTGTTGAATGAAAGAAATTCAACAAGTTCTCCTTTCCCATAGTCACTAAACAGTCACTAATGTGACTGTTGGTTGAGGGGGGGTGATGTAACGGGGCGAGCCCGTTACATAATATTGACACTTATATGAAGTGTCAATAAAAATATTATTATAACTAATAATATTTTTGACAATATTACCTTTTCTTATAATATTGTTCCTAGATCTCCTTGAAGTTGGAGATGCCCTCTCATTGGTTGATATGGGCCATCATATCAACCAATGCGCTGACCAATGACCGATGGACGCGCGCAATGAGTGGAGGGCAAGTTGTCAACATACATAGTTGTAGTTTAATATAGTTAACATAGGTTATAACAGATTAGTTTTATTAGACAGTTAACTATATTAAATACAGTTTTCTTTTCCCTCTCAACTAAGCGTTTGTTTCGTTGATTCCCTTCCTCTGCTCACGTGTACGTGAGGTAATTGAGGCACCTGCTTTCACTGTAATCAGTGAAAGTAGACTATACTGTAATCAGTATAGTCGGAGGGTGCCCCATTACAGTATAGCAGTTGAACCTGCAACACAACAATGACTGACAAGACGTTTCTAAACAGGCATTTCTAACACATTATAGTGACGGGGTTTAGCTCCAGCAAAACTGAAAAACAGCGCTTTGGGTTTCAAAAACAAGCTCGTATCCATAGACATACATTGCGAGTCGTGAACACATAGAAATACTTAGCAATAGCGCAAATTTAACTAAATTATCCAGTAATTTGAACAAGATTTTATTATGAGGTTAAAAATGTAAGTGTATTCAGGTGAGACATCGTAAGTAGAAATACGCAGCTCAGAATATTGTAGCGGGTAGAAACACACATCGCGACAAGTTCTTTGTTTGTGTAAGCACTATAATTAGAGCTGACTGTTGAGACCCAGAAAAGATCAGCTCTAATTATGGTGCTTACACAAACAATGAAGTTCTAATATCCACGGCGACTCTGGCACAGCTAGAGCGACACCACCCAGACGAGGTGACCGCATACACAGCCGTGTGGACACGCATATGGAAGTATTTGCACCACCAGCTTGTGGATAAAGCCCAACCGCGTGACGTTCCAGCAAGCGGGTGTGATTATTGCCGGCAGCGTGCAGGAATTTTGGGAGATCGGCATGCGGCAAGTTCGCGCAGTCGCGAAGCGTGAGTACCGACGAAGACAAACGAAAATTCAAGGAACCCGTCTGATGCTATGTCAACGTGCCATAGCCAGACAAGGCCGAGAGCCGTCACCGCAGATGACAAGCTTCGTACAACATTGATCCCGAACGAGGAACCGGCGTTGCTAACCAGGCTTAGGATCTACCAGACATCCTGCAACCACTAAAGGTTAAATAGACTCGTCTGCCTCTCTCACACAAACAATGAAGTTGTCGCGATGGGTATTGTTACTCGGACAAAGGCGCTACAATATTCTGAGCTGCGTATTTCTACCCAAACAAAGGCGCTACAATATTCTGTGCTGCGTAGACGAAAGGCGCTACAATATATGCTGTCCACTAGCACAGCAGCCATAACAACAATGTCGCTCAGGAACGGTCCCGCACGATCTGATGCACGTAGTGTAGCAATCCTTGTTTGAACAAGCGAGCTCGCAGGCGTAACAATTTGTTGCACTAGCTCTGCAGAAACCCCGACTTAAGGCTGATAATAAGACTTAAACGACACGTAACGCCGTCTATGCGACGGCGTCGGCTGCAGCCCATGGACGAGGACAAAAAGAGCCGGAAATGTCGGTATGTAGGATTTGTCGAGCAGCTCCACTGGAACTCCCACGGATGACGAACGTGACGTTACGGGAACCGTTGACTCAAATCCTGACGATGTCGTTCAGCAGATGGAACATGTCGCGCCATACGGATTCAATGACAAATCTACCATGCACCGGCTCAAGAAATCTGGATATGAACCGGCTAAGCTTGAGGCAGCTGGCGACGCAGCCTTGACCTTAGCCTGGTGACGATAGATAGTAAGAGAGAGAGGGCAGACGAGTTGATTTAACCTTGAGTGGGTGCAGGATGTCTAGTAGATCCTAAGCCTTGTTAGCAATGCCGGTTCCTCGTTCGAGTCCGGTGGTTGTACGAGACGTGTCACCTGCGGTGACGGCTCTCGGGGTATCTGGCTATGGCACGTTGACACTAGCATCCGACAGTATTTTTGTGTCGGTTCGCCGGTTCGTTACGGTTCATGAATTTTGGAAACCAGTATGAGCTGCCTCATACTGGGTTTCCAGCATCATAAATGCTGCCGGCGATGATTACGTCCGTTTGCTAGAACGTCACTCGGTTGCGTTGTATCCACAAGCTGGTGATGCATGACGCTGCTCAGGATGTGCCATATGCGTTGCCGCACGGCGGCGTATGCAGCACCTCGTCTGAGTGGTGTCTGGTGAGCTGTTTCTGGATCACCTAGGATAGTCCTGGTGCGCGTCTGCTTGCACTGATTGCAATGAACTTTGGAGCCCGTCCAAGCTCCCATCGCTTTCCTGTCCAGTGGCAGATGAGCTTCTACCAGTAGGCTTGCGCACACGGGCATGTCCAGCACATGTGTTCCAGAGTTCTTTTACTCCTTGGCAGCATTAGAGTTTGCGGCGGCAATTGTTATCGTGCCCTCGGTCTGGATGGAAGAGGTTGAGTTGCCCCGACGGTAGATAGTAACGTAAAGCAATAATGACATACGTAGTTATGCATATAAAAGCACCCTATACATAACCAAATGTTAGTCAATAATTCTGCTACGGAACATGAAGAACCCACAGCATAAAAACACGTTGTATTTAGTATGCAGTAGTTTTTGCGATGTACATAGTTCTCCATCCATGTAAATGAGTTCTGTCGGATCTAGAGCGCCACCGGCCAAGCGCTATCAAACACGGGCACTGACGGTATCAAGGGCGTTGTAGGTGACACGGGGCAATAGAAGGCTTGGTCCTTCATTAGCATCTGAGGAGGTTGTCTGATAGATGCGCACTCGGACCCAAAGAGCAGCACTTCCAAAATCTTGACTTCCAGCAGGTCAAAGCTGTTCTGGAGCATAATTCCGCTGGTTGGTTCCGTCGTGCCCTGTGGACTCTCGAGACCAAGACGTGCTCGCTTTATTGCGTGATCGTCACTAGGCATCGAAGGGGCGGTAGCGGCTTGTTGCTCGAGAATGTGCTTCTTGCGCTTGTGCAGTCGTTGTTGGTTGGCGTTGGCCTTCCGTCGGTGAAAGTCACACAGCTTGTGCAATGTGCCGTCGAGCTTGGTGGAGCGTGGAGCGTTGCAGAACTTGCTGCGGTAGGCGCACTGCATCTCTCGAGGCAGCATCATAAAGAAAGTTAAATCGCTGCTGTTTTGAGCTGTTCGCACCACGTGAGATTTTCTAGAATGACATTCGTTGAAAAATGCCACAGCAGCCGACTATTTGACAGACAGGCGAGTTGAGACCTCAGTCAACCCTTGAAGACCCTTGCATATGATTCTGTTGACTGAGGATGGGCTATGGCACTCGTCATGAGATGGGGTACTTCTCATATGAACCTCAGTATGACGACCATGGAGATCTTGGCGAGGAGTCAGCAAAACGCGTAGAGCCACGCGCAAGTCGGACAGCAACTGGATTGTGCTCGGCTCTTACCTCGCCCTACTTCTCCGTCGATGTATTGCTGTCCTAACCGGCCCCTGCTCTGCTGGTTTAATGGGAAAGTTGCGACAGCAAAATTTTTGTCACCCTGCTGTTTACGAGTCAATTGCGACTAGCGCTGGATGAAAGCGTCAATGAAGGTCCTCAGCTAAACGAGCACGCATCCAATGCTTCGAATCCGAGTATAAGTAGGTTAGCTAGCACGCAATTACTCTCTTGCGATTATAATTGTGCATAACGCATCATTGCATCAGTTTGAATTGCTGTCATGCTTTGAGCAACCCTTTGTTTCACGTAATGTTACGTGTAGCGACAAGCATAAGGACGTCACGACGTAGTTTACAATGCACACAAGGTTTATTCAAACGAGATAGAGTGGTTCACGGCACGTCAACATATTTTGAACTTCAACGAAACTGTATTGTACATAATACTTCGAGGCGACATCGTGCTGTGACATTTGCACTGTATATGCCTGTCGGATCCTCGTCAATTGCGGAGAAGTTTTGATGGACCGCACATTGAGAACCGACGCATGTCGTAACAGGTTTGACTGACAAGGTAATTGTAATTTACTGTTGATTATGTCCTGTTCAGCAAAGTGGTCGATTGAATTAACGTGAGCAAGGGTCGCGTCGTGCAATGCGCAGCGCTTGTGAGGATAGCAACGTCACCTCACGAAAATAAGCGCGAATGACATAACCGACTTCGTGATCAATACTACAACGAGTGTAGTATTGATGATAGCAAGGCGAGGCCTTGCTACCACCAAAAGTCTTACACTCTTTGTCATACTACACTCGTTGCTTCACGCACGTCAGTACGGCAAAAAAAGTTCTTGATATCCTCGTGACGTATGTAATGTAGACTGTTGATGTGGCAACCGCCCATGGTCGCAAAGCGATTTGCGTGATGGAGTCATCTCCCGATTTGTACCGGCGTCAGACGCCTGGTCTGTTATGTTACCCTCTTGTGACGAGACAGTACACTCTCGTTGGAGCAATGTGTCACAGGAAGGTTTTACAAGAATGTCTTACCATGAAACCGTTGGTCTATGAGCAATAGTTGGTGCGCTGTCGTCGAGATAGCTTCGTAAACACTTCATTCTTGACGTGTGAGCCGTTAAGAAGTACAAACATCATTTAGTATTGCCACTCGTCCATTCCGAACCCTGCACGCTACGCTAGCAGGGCCTCGACGGCCATCTTGTATCAGTCCGCAGTGTGATCTTTGAGCAAAATTGATCAGATGTCCTTGAGTCCTCAAAAGTGCCCCACTGACAGAAAGTAAGCTTTTAAGAGCTTCGCATCACTCCTCAGCATGCATCCGTCTTCCCTCATGGTTTAAGGAGAAATCTCTCATTTCGTTTACAGGCACATCCGGCACCGACGAAGTTCTGTAAGTTTCTTGGTGCAAGTTGCTCTGTCTGCTTGCGTTGTTGTTAGCGCAAACCAGAATCGAATAGTGTCTTGTTTTCTCAGTTACTGCTGTGTATATTCTCCTTCTAATGTTCATGGAATTCGTACGAAGTGTAAAGATGGCTAGAGATAACAGATTGCAAGTGGCGCTACTCAGTGACAAATCAGCTTACTAAGTAACAACGCACCGTGGAGCTTTCACCAGGTAGCCCTATATCGTGCAGGTCATGCCTGCGCATTATTTAGCGATTGGAGTGAAAACAACTTACGAGGAATAAGAAAGTAAAAGGAAAGTGCGTAAGATGCTATTTAGCAGTAGGGGAATAGCGTTGCACGTTATCACGGATTTACACAAAGTACATGGCGTGGTCAAACGACGATGTTTTTAGGGTACCAGGTCCAGGATTATGATCCCACCTGTAAGTCGCCCAAAATCCCTTGCGCTCCTGGGTGTACAAGTGTGTAAGAGTCGGGATATCTTTATATTATTGGAGAAGTAAATCCTGGTCCGACGAGGTGTGTCACTAGGTGCTTTCAGAGATCCGTCACGATGCTGTATGATGATCGTCCATTCGTCTTGCCCCGGTGCAATTTACTCGATTCCTTCCGCTCTGCTTTTCGGCTGTAAAGCCATCAACGTGTTGTTTCTACCAGTTTGGGTAGATATGCTCCAACTAGCTGAGTCCTCTATATCTGGAATGTCCACGCTGCCTACGCATAGAAGTAGTGATCTCGTTTCTAAATCAGCCGCTTCATCGCATACTTTATGTTTTAAGTGCATTGTGCGACGTCAATGGAGATGAGCCTATCCCATTCGCACCGCGTGGCGTGTACAGCAGGCCTGGATTTACTTCGTGTCTGCTCTGCCTGTAGACGTGGAGTGATGCCACAAAAATTGCTTCTGTTTGTTGTGCAAGTCAGCTCGAGCCCATTGCGGGAGCCGGAAGACCACAGCTGTAAACAACATAGCAGGCAGCATGATAGCATTCAGTAGCAGTATTCTGATAACGACGCTGGCTGAAAGGCTTGCCGTGGTGGCTAGACGTTCTCTGACGTTTTCGAGTCCGTAAAGTCCAATTGCGTCAAAACTAGGTCTTTCAATCCTACGACAAGGGGACCTGAATTATCAATCAAGCAATACTGAGATGGACTGGAAGGGTATCCTTGTGAGCAGAAAGAAAATGTTTACGTAGTAAACAAGGCACTGTATGGTCTAAACCAGGCAGGCGAGGAATGGAATTCCGAATTCGACATATTGCTTGAAAAGTTGTGGATTCGAACGCAATCACACAGAGAGAGCCTTGTCTGCACGTGTACAACCAAAATGGCGGGTTTGCACTTGTGTTAATCTACGTTAATAATATTTTTTGTGTTACAAAAGATGAAGCATGTAAGAATGAATTGTTCACTCGACTCGATCAAAGCTACGGCTTAAAGGATCAAGGATTGCTGAACAAGTACTTGGGTGTTGAAGTCGAGCGAAACGATACCTCAATGAAGATTCATCAAACTCAATAACTGCACTGTAATCCTGACAAATTTAATTTTGTAGATGCTCATAAGAGCAGGATTCCTATGGAGACCAACACTCGATTTACATCGGACGATGTTAATAATGGAGCCGAATAGGTCTGGGTATGCTACAGAGCAGCTACCCATCAATTGGATCTGTACTTCTCGGGACGCGACATGGACTCGACTGCATCGGCAGCACAAAAGACTCCTACACATCCCTGGGAATGCGTAGGAGCGATAAAGTCTTGGACATACATCATCACGCAGTAGACACGATCGAAAGTATCATCCGCATAAATGGTCTTGTACAAACAAGCAGCGTTTTTGCGTTCGACACCGGAGCTACATCCGAGAGTGCGGGCGGATAGTAAGCACGTTCCCAGACAACGCTGACATCGTTGGCTGGGCATGAGAAAGAATATGGTGGATAGCTTTTTCCGTCTGCGTGACCACGCTTTGGATTCAGCGGAACAGGCGCATCCGTACGCACGAAATACGCTTTCGGAGCGAGGAATAAACAAAGCCTTCTTTTTGAGCGATCGCTTCAAGCAGCAACGGTGAGATAGAGATGTGAGCAATGACGTCTATCTCTGACTAGCAGTCGAAATTCCAAGGCACCATCGTCCGCCGGCCCGGCACTGCACAGCCTTCGTAACCGACAGGAGACATCTTCTGGGGTACTAAAGTGGCTACGAACTTAAAGAAAAATCTCGTAAACTAGACAAGTCTATTTTCCACGAAGTACATCGTGACAATGATGATGATGTACCAGTTCTTCTGGTAATGTGGTAGCACCTCAGCCATTACCACGACGCGATTGTTCTCCTCCTCGTGACTCAATCTACTAGCTCATTATTCCGGATCACGGGGCACTTCGCCTGCGGGAGAAAGCTTCGTGGTACCGGGCTTCGCGCTCAGCAAAGTAGACGGCGGCTTGGTAGATCGTAAAAAAAAGAATTGACCTGGGGTGCACGGAATATCGATACTTTGTCGATGCCCCTCCTACACCCTAAAATAATCTGCGGCCGTTCCGCTCTCGAGTCACCCGCTACGTTGCCTCCCAAAGCGCGCGCAACAAGAAGAAGGCCCCCTATATATCTTGGCCCCACAGTGAGGAAATTTCCATTAAGGAAAATAAAGGGCGCTGTGAAGGTCTTGTCACTGTCCGTTGTCGCACTTGGCTGCCGTTTAGAGTTCTCGTATCACAGGCGCTATGGATTTCTCCGTCTTTGTCCGGTGTCGCACTTGGCCTATGTTTGGGAAGTGAACACAAACATTAGACGCTGCTGTGAGATGCCAAGGTTTGCACAAGAAGTTTCCTAACACAACAAATCATGCAAGAAGCGCAAAGAGGCAAGATGTGGACAATCGTGCCACTAGCAAACCGTGTCGCTACCGCAGCCCCATTTCCTTTCCTAAGCAGCATGATAGCGTTGTCGATGCTGGTGCCTGCATGCATATGCTTCCATGCGTCTCGCTCGCCCAATGCGTGATATTGTGCGACCAAGCCATACCTCTGCAGTCCACCGCGACGATTAAAACGAGGTCAACGCTACCGTTCCTTTATTTTGCATTGATCGCATCTCACTATTGCATAATTTCGCTTTAAATCGGACCAAGTGGGTGGCAAGCAAGATTTCTTCTGTCCTCAATTGGCTTCATGCTTAGAACTTCACAACCCATCGAAACACTAACAGCTCTCCTTTGCCCGATTTCCACCAATAATATTGTATACACTGCATTATTTTGACGAATTATATCACTCCGTTATATATGCTGCGTTGTTATAAACCCTCACTTCTGCTTGTACGATCTCGGACTTACATCTCTCAAGCGGAATCTAAGCACGTAAGATAGAGCACTTAGTGGAATACAATGGAAGGCCAATGGCGCTCAGAAATTCCAGAAGACATGCGCAAGACGATGATTACTGAAATGTACGTCTCTCAGTCTTCTAATCACAGCGTTGTAGTACTTAGTGACCCATCAGCAGACGTCAGAGGAGCTCGATCAAGACAATGATCATACCCCCCTTCCTCCCGCTCCCTTCCCTTCATATTGCAGACTACCATGTCGTCTTTGCAAAATAAAAGGTTGCTTACATTGTTCCCTATTATAATACTGATGTAGGTATCATGAGCTGGCCCGTATATCGGGTGAGGTGGATAAGCAGAAAGTGTGGGGATCGGCGGCCAAGTTTGAGCTGATGCTGTGGTCAAGCAGCCCTGATCGGGTACGTTACGTCACACCAACACTACACTGTGTAGTGTGACGAATCTGTTACCGTAGTTGACGCTCTTTTGTGCGCACTAGAACTCGTACTTGATGAAAATGCAGAGGAAGATCGTGAGTCTCAAGAAAAAACAGGGCGCTGGCGACGCCAATTTGATGGCCAACGCAAACAACGTGGTAACGTCCAATTCCATGAATCCCGCAGTCAACGGAATGGCTCATGGACTCAATATGAACATGAATGCGACCATGAACGCACAGTTCCAGCAGAACAACGCTGTCGCTAGTCAGGCCATGAACAACTTTCAGCAGCAAGCTCAGGTACAACCACAATCTCAAGTTCAGGCCCATGCTCAAGCTCAGGTACAAGCACAAGCTCAGGCTCAGCAACAGAATGCCGCAGCGTTAGCTGCGAGTAATGGTGCAACTGTAGGTGCCTCGACCGGTTTCAATGCAGCAGTCGCCGCTGGGTTGAACTCAAGTAATGCCGGTCCGACGGCGGCGGCAAATATTCCTACTCCACCCCAGCAGCAGGCGCAGCAATGGTTGCAACGCATCCAAGTGCAGTTTCAAGCCCAACAGCGGCAGCTGATGCATACGCAAAACCAAGAGACACAGCAGCTCCGGCAACAGCACATGAATCAGCAACAGCAGCTCTCTCAGCAACAGCAACAGCAAGGTGTTGCTCCTGACATGCGGCGCCAACAACTGCAGACATTACAACAGCAGCATCAACTTGCGCGCACTCGGCTGCAACACCTGCACAAGAGCAAGCAACAGCAGTTACAGAGGAAGCAACAGCAATATCTGATGCAGAAGCAGCATCAACTTCAGCAGCAGCAACAACAAGGTTCAGTTGCAGCAGCGACAGCAACGGCTTCTACAAATGGTGTTTCCTCTACGGCTATGATGGCTCCTTCACAAGCTGGTGTGGCGCCTTCCTCGCTGTCTCTTCCTAATGCGACGACGGTGCAGACCTCGGCTCCAACAGTCTCAACGACTCAAGCAGCAGCAACACTCCCCACTGCTCAGCGTGGAGTGAAGCCGGAGCAACTTGCGGATGCACACACCCAACAGGCAGCAATGCGAGACATGCAGCGTGCCCAAAATGCAGCTCAGATACACGCCGACAATGGATTGACGCATCAGTTGTTTAACGGCACTGCAGCGTCCACAGCATCGTCAACGCCTACTGGTGCGGCTAAAGGAACGGTCACAGCTACGACCACAGCAACAACAACTGATAGCAGCAACCAGACTTACGTGGAGAGGCTGAAGGAGACAAAACAGAAATACTGGGACGATTTGGTGATCGTCTATCGTGAGTTTGAGCGCATGGTGAAACAAAAACCGGCGAACCAGCAGCAAGAGCGTATCAACACCTTCCTCGTGAACTTGAAGCGTATCATAGCGCTGTTACAGCAGGATCCGTTAAAAGTCACAAGCAACAACAAGAATGACTTGGATCGTGTCGAGGCACATATTCAAAAACAAGTTCTACCTATTTTGGAACGACTAAAAAACAAAACACGTGCTGCTGCGGCAACGGCCGGCAACAATGGTTTAGCGGCAGCTCAGCAAGAGCAGATGAAGAAAACTCAGGAAGCACAGCGGCTAGCGCAGCTGCAGGAACAACAGAAAAAAATGCAAGAACAACAAAAGGCGGAAGCTCAGCGTAAGCTTCTTGAGGAGCAGAAAAAGAAATTGCAGCTTGAAGCAGCAGCAGCAGCAGCTGCCGTTAAGAAACAAGAGATGCTGGAGCAACAACGCAAACAAAAACAGAAACAACTTCAGGCTCAGCACGCTCAACAACAAGCTATTTTGCAGCAACAGCAACAACAGCGGCAGCGATTGCTGGCCCAGCAAGCGCAATTAAAGGCTCAAAACCAATTGCGCATGAACGCAGCAGCTCCGCAGCAGGCTAAAACCGCTGCCGGGACCGTAGATGTGACTCCTTCTGCCATAGCAAATGCGGGGGGCGATCTCACTACCACAAGTACAACAAATGGGACTGATGTTTCACCTACTAACGCTTCACTACCGACTCCGATTGACGTACCAGTCTCATTATCGCCTGGAGAGACCAGTACTTCGAGCGGAATGGCGCCATTGACCCCTGCGCAGTACCGGACGTTCAAGCTCCCCGAGGCACGCAAGCAACAGCTGACGGCCCAGCACGCTAAGCTGCGCGAACAGCAGCAAGAGCTGATCATGCAGCAAAGTCGAGCCAAGACGCCGTCACATCAGGCAAAACTCGCGCACCAGGCTCAACGCCTTGCGCAGATGACGAACAAGATATCGCAGCAGTTGGTGCAATGCAAGCTGGCTGAGGAATACGAACAGTCCAAGAGTATGGGCATGGCCACGGCCGTATCGCAGCCGACACTGGCGCAGTCCACAGCAACGCCAGCTTCGCTCGACAAGACTATAACTATAAAGCCTGAGATTGCCGCTTCTGGAAACGGCCTCGCTACATCAGCGTCTGAAGTGACAGCACCGGCCACCACTCTTGCTGTCATTAAGGATGAAACGGCGGCAGTCAGTGCTGTTGCCGCCACTGTTCCGGGGATGACTGCGAAGAAAAACGATGACTTTAAGTCAGTGTTACCCGACATGACAGGACTGGGTGCTTCTGAAAAGCTATTGACTGCGGTAGCTGCTTATGAAAAACACAAACCGGATGTTTTGAAGCGGGGTGCGTTGCGGTTCTCGCGCATTGCCGTGACGATCGGCGCCAAGCTCAATACGTCTTACGTGACCTCTTAGAAACAGGTCAAGGCGGTCGGTTGTGCTCTGTGTAAAAAGAAATTCTGTCTGGAATGGAGACACGGTCTGCTGTTCAGAGCGTAATTGGAAAAAGATTGAGTGCACATAAAGGAAAGGCATCATGAAGCAAGCACTGAAAGCGAACACATTACGAAAAGTGACAGATTGGAAAACTATTGGGTTTGCTTTATTTATGAGGTCATGCTGGTCTAGTTGTTTTGTTCAAGACGTGTGAGTGAGTTCAACAAGTCATTGCCGCCATGACGTGCACTTTTTGAGCATTGCGGACCCTGTTTTGGAAATTTGCAATGTCTTTGCTTTAATACCTGAGGCTTTCTATGTTGGATTAACAATTTTAAATTCAGTTTGTACGTGGATACAATTCGCCCTCGCATACAATACGCAAGTGATTCGATTTTGAATTAAAACTAACCCTGATCATATTTTAGTGGGTTGTCAAGTATCTTACAGAAGTTGTACATCACACTTACATAATCTTAAGAGTTTAGCAAAACGCCAAAAGAGCAGACGTTATCGCAAAAGGGAACAAGTCGGACAGTACCTCGTGTCCTCGTAATAACACACCGAGGAATTTATTGCAAGCTTCTCATCCATTGGCATTAGACAATTCGAGCACGAAAACGATTCGTTTAAAAACGATTTTTCCCATCACTTTCGTTTCAGTGCAGTTGTTTCCGTCTCAAATCGTCTGCTGTCGCATCTAGTCGCTTCACATTACAAAAGCGGCAATTTACAAGTAACTAGAGCTTCGTCTCAAGTTTTTTATTGTACTGAGATTTAGGCAAGTATATCATGTCGACAGTCGTGGCGGAGCGACTCTGCCAATCAGAAATGGGTCCATCCAGTACAGGAGTAAAGTCTCAAGCGTCAGTTGCAAATGGGACGAAAGAGTCTGCATATAGTGCAGCTTCGGAGTCAAAAAGTGTCGACATGGACAAGCGAAAAAATGAGGAGCTTTTGGTAAAGAGCAGCAATGCTTCACATGCCAATGGAAAAGCACATTGTGATGATGATGCAATTAGTCAATGCAAAGTTGAGACCGCGTCGGAGACATCGAGGAAGTTGATGGAACAGGCCAAATCTCGATTGAAAATTCAGATGCAATTTGTCAAAAACGCGAGACGCAAGATTCTCGATGAAACACATCCGGATATGGTAGAGAGGTTGCAAGTGGCGGCCCAAGAGCGTGATCATCTGCTATGTGTGGCTAAACAACGGTATGAGTATTTCAAACACGGAACAGCCGTGATCTATAATTACGAGTGTGACGAGGCCAATTCGGAGTACGATTTGCATTGTGAGAAGCTGCGTCAGGATATGCTGGAGGAGATCCACCATGAAATGGAGATTCTCAATGACCAGCGGAAGGGTGGTCACGGCCATGGTAAGGATCTTCGAGTGTATGTGGTTCTTTTCATGTTTTCACTGTCTTATGATTACATTGAATTGCAGCTCGGACAACGACTCGCAAAACCCGCAGTACTCGTAATAAAACTGGCCTGGAAGCAGGTGTTGTTCCAGAAACAGCGCAAAAAACTAAGAAACGTGCAGGCTCCGTCTTCCAGCCACTCGAGAACAAGTTGGGTCAGTCGGAAATTGATCATGACGTGCGAGAGCTCACGAGTGTTTATGAGGCTACTAAGAAGCGACGCATGGACTTCGACACTGGTACGTGACTAAGCGTGTCATTTAGACTCTCACTGTGTCACTGATGAGTTTGCTTGCTATTACAGACTGTAAAATTACCCCCGTGGCCAAATTCTACCGGAATAAGTTCCTGTATCGAGACTGGATCTTTCAAGAGGGCGATGAGGTATATGTGCTTAACTACCCTGCGTCGAGTGAGTATGCAGCTGTAATCTGCGGCATCTCGCCTATGGAACTCCTAGTGCTCTCGGAGAAGGGAAAGCACTACCGTTTGGTCATTATGGACATTCGACAGGGTCGTGTCGTGCTCACCACGCTGTCATCAGAGCATGCCGCGTCCCGAGACGATCTCGGCGATGCAAGTCCCTAGAACACCGCTATAGTTTCCAGTATCAAGCTTGTACTTGTCCTTGGCCTTTCACCATCTGTCATAATTTTGCTTATCACATCAACAGTTGCTTTAAAGACAACATGCGGTGCTATAAAATTGCTTAGTAGCGTAGCTGCATCCATTGGTGTCTAATGAATCCTATACTGCGTCATGAAACTTCCAGCGATCCTAAAGGCGATTACTGTCCCATTGCAGCCTCTTTTGCCCGCTTGTCGGCAAGATATTTGGCCGCCGCCTCCTTTAGCTCCTCCTTATCCCGCTTCTCGGCGTACATCTCCGGCACCTCAAGACCAACACGACGTGCCGACCGGTTGACCATTTCCTCACCCGAAAGCGTTTTTTCAAGACCAGCATCCAAAGCCCACAAGTGCTAAAAAACAAGACCAAAAAAGTCAGTTTATTGACCACAAAGTTGGAAGAAATACATCGATTTGTCATTAATTATGCACGTACCCGCTGCTCTTGGACGCCCTGTAACAACATCAAGTAGTCACTGGCTTCCAATCGGTATGCGCGCATTTTCGTACGGTCATTCTCGTGTTGTCGAGCTCGATACTACAAAATAAAAAAAGAGTTTTCTTGTTAGATAATGTCCGATGGAGAAATGAGAGTGTAATTTTATGGCATTAACAAGTTAAGATACCGAACCTGCGCGAGAATCTGCTGCGAAAACTTGCAGTTGCGGATAGAATCCTGTGATCCGCGTGTACGCGTCACACGTAGCAGCGAGCGCAGGTTTTTAAGCACGTCCGTCTTGGAGCCGACGCGCAAACCTCTTGCCATGATGATAGTTTAGCGTTTAGAAATAATGACGATGTGGTCCACAAAGAGATTAGAAATTTAAGTATTACACCGCTAGCCCAAATTTAAATGTCTTTAAATGTGCTATAAATTCTAATAACGCCTAGTTTAATATTATGCAAACCTATTATAATCTAATTAGGCAGAATGTTCAGCACCTTCTTTTCTTTTTGTATGTGACATTAATAATTAGAATGTCATGGCTGTCCCAGAGGCCGGCATTCTATGCAAGTTCAGGCGCGTGGCTGGCCAACAAGGTCAACACAGCGACTTCTATCATAGTTCAAGCATGTTGCCGCTGCTTCAAAAGCTCCTGTGCGTCGAATTTGCCAACAGACAGACCATAATGCCCGAACCAGCAGAAGGGCAAACAGCAATTTGAAAGCCAAAATTTATAAAAAATCGAGACGCTGTAATATTTTTTAAACATTGTTTAAAATTGGCATCTGACCCATCAGATTTTATTAGAGGCTAGTTAGCCAAAGATATATGTTAGTACAGCCCTTCAAATCCCTGGTGCAGAATTGGATACTTTCGTGAATTTTCAAATAATTCAAAAAAAATGATTTTACCATTCGCTAATTATACATAAAACGTAAATATACTTAGGCTAAGTTTATGGAAGGCATCTCACTAAATAGGTATAATTTGCATTTTCTCGACATTATCACTACAGAAAGGATTATCTGTAATATGAGATTTGGCGTTGCATGCCGAGCATGCGAGATTTGAGTATTTGACAGTCAGTTTCTAACCCGAAACCAAGCTTAGCAGCTTCGATATGTAGCAGATCTATCGTCCTATACTAGCATACCTTTTATCCGTTCTATTGCCTTCTTGTCGGCTTTTTGCGCTAATGTTATCGACTGATGAAACTAAGACGGTTCTTAAAGGCTACACGCAGCAGGATGGTCGCTCCGACGTCATCGACATTCTGGTGTAGACCTTGAGCAACGCAAACCTTGTTCAATGAGGACGTAACCACTATACTCACAACGCCCTACGAGGGCGCCTACGCGATTTATGTTCCATCGCTTCGCTTGTTTCGTGCCGACAAGGTCGTGAATGTATAATCATTATGATGAAACTTAAATTTCATTCCGTAACACAGCAAGCAAGTTTAACGTTGCACGACGTCCTTACAATCGTATTAGAAGAGCACACCAAAAACTACTTGCATGCCCATGAACCTCACATTTGGTGTTGCCTGATGCCAAACTGGACACGATCATATTTTTTTGGACCAGCAACGCACTGTAACAATAAAACAGCCGTCGAGCTCTTGCAGTGGGTAATTCCAGCACATCTACCTGTTGTAGAAACAAGTGTGTTGCCCACTCAATGGGGATCTCATGCTGACTGTAACAATGCTACTGGACTATGTCAGCTTGATTTGAACTCGATGTGAATGGCTTTGTCAACACCGATGAATGGAAGCGTGGCCACAGACCTTGCTGAAGACACCCGCACGGGCATTACTCTCTTAATGTTATCTGACAGCATCATCCCTCACCAGTCTAACAAGAACGCTGTCATGGTCGGGTGCGGCCGTCAAAGTCTTATTTTGACTGCTTTCACCGGGTCGAGCTTTGCCAGCTACGAGGGTCTGAGCACTGTCTAGAACACCTGCTGCTCTCGGAGGTTGCGGAAAGTCGTCCGCATCGGCGCTGATTAATAATTGCAGACGACGCCGTCTACCAGCGTGTGTATGGGTACTATCGTTTTTCTGTATTTGCAATTCCTGCAAAAACGTAGTCGTGGTATATTACAGTGTCAGTACGACTTATTTGGCAAACATTGAGAATTTGCTGTCCGTAGTCGACCATGATACGTCTTAGTGTAAAGTAAAGTGTATAATAGACCGTCAGCTTTGCTGACAATCATCTTTGCTGAGTGTGCAAGCATCGCTGTGGTGACCGATGCTAAACGCAGACAAAAGGACGGTACCTCGCTTTGTAGATGCAGTTCTATTTGTTACTGCCAATTTAAACAGTTCTTGAGTAGCAAAGTGCCATTGGAAGAATGAGCTTACAAGATCTGCAACCTTGTGCTAGAAAAGAATTGAGGTGGTCACGCAGCTCGGTGTCACACGAATATACATAATGAATATTCCCTTTTGTTGTGTTGGAGTGTCAGTCCGACAGGCATGAGTCTATGTCGAGCTATACGACTTCGTACTTCATGATCTTCGATACATGTAAGTGTCAGATATTTCGTGACGCGGTAAATACTAGGTGGTTTTGGCGCTCAGCTGATCGAATTGTGTAGTCATTGCAGATCCTTCAGAAAAACGCATCGAATGAACGGATGGTAGTGTAACGCTAGCGTGCAAAGAAACACAATGTCCTGCCGGCCTTAGCTGGTAGATATCGGTGGACTAGTCGCTTATGGTACAAGCGCGGCAACATATTCATCATTGAGCATGTTTTGTCAGGCTAAAATGAAGAAGGAGGCATCATTTGGAATGCCCCGCCGCTCGAATATATTTTTTCATTTCAGACGCGTGGCTGCAAAAAATAGTCAATCATTTACCGACTTGCCATCTGCATCCAGAGCTTGTTGCACAACATTTTGTAAAGGAAGAACCTCTGCCGGTAGCTCAAATGTCTGTTATCCACAGTGTCCAATATTACGTATCTGCGATACAACTTAAATTGCTAATCTTCTGGATGATCTTGATGCTTCGTCGGCATCGATCAAGACAGGCAGGATTTAAGTCCGGTTTGTCGCGTCCGCAATCTTCTTGCAGACCGCAATTGAACTAGAGCTAGAAGACAAGAAAATGCAGTCGCATTGCACGAAAACAACTGAAGTAAAGGCGCACGAAAAGCTCATTAGTCAAACGAAGCGTGTCTATATCTGCGCTCTTCCATCTAGAACTTAGACACGTCACGGCCCACGAGAATCGCCTTAAGCCAGTCTAGCGGCACCTGCAAACGGAGTCGCCAGCTTCCCAGCATGGTCAAATAAGCACTACGCCACAGAAACCAGGCCTTCCAGCCAGTGAGCGTTATTCTGCCGTCGACTCTGGGGCGCGCCTCGAAAAGACCTTCATAAGAACCCAAGTACGCCATCATGCCCTTGCTGTGGAAAGTGTACGGTTTTGCCGGCACCGAGTGCTTACCGCGGAACAGCGAAGTAAGGTAATTCGCCTGGGACTGCGCCTTTTGGGCCGTAGCCGGCAGCGGGTAATCCAAAATCTCGGCACAGTCACCAATCGAGAAGACGTTGGAGCGGCATGGCATACCCCATGGGGCCTTATCTTCGACCTCAGGAGCACCCAACACCTGACAGTACTGGTTAGTCAAGATGTTGCCACGCTTGCTCTTTTCAAACACCGTGAGAGATTTGGTGAGCTCGTTCGGTCCCACTCCAGCGGTCCACACGACAAGACCGGCTGGGATCTTTTCGCCACCGTCAACTGTGACTCCGTTCGCTGTGACTTCAATGCAGTTCTTTTTGATAATCTCCATCGTTTTGCGTTTCTGGATCTTAAGCAGTGCCACAGCACGCAGGTGTTTGTCAAATCCGCTCAGAATCTCACCAGAGTCCACCAGCGTCACATTTAGGTGCTTGGATGTCTCCGGATACTTGTGTACTAAGTCCTGCAGCACGAAATCGTACAGCTCAGCGCAGAATTCGATGCCGGTCGGGCCTCCACCGACCACGACAAAATGTAGCAGACGCTTCTTTTCCACCGGTGTCACACCTGGCTGTGTAGCGACCTCAAAGTTATCGAGAATGCGATTTCGAATCTTCTGCGCGTGATGGATCTCCTTGAGGAAGAAAGCGTGCTTTTTCACACCAGGCAGTCCGAATGTCAGTGGCATCGAGCCACAAGCCAGTACCAGGGCATCGTACTTGATGTCGTACTTGCGGTTGCAACTCACAGCACTAATAGCCGACTCGACATTCAGGACTTTATGCTCCGGGTCGACGTTGTGCACATTGGCAAGGTGAAAGTCACCTTCGTGACTGAGCATGCTGTCACGCAGCGGCTCAATAATAGATCGGAATTCCAGTGTCCCCACCGTCGTGCTAGCCAGCAATGGCGTGTACAGGAAGTGCTGCAAACAATCGAACAACTTTTGGGTGAGTGGGGCCTAGTATTGGTAGCTGAGGCTGCAAACGTACGTTGCGCTTGGAGACGATGACGAGGTCCACGGGTCGGCCAATGTTCTCCTCGATATCTACGAGGTGTTTGCGGCATTGCATGAACATTTTGTAGCCGGCCCAGCCCGTGCCAACGATCACAAGCTGGAAATTCTCAGGCTTCTTGGTTTCGTCCTGCCGAACGTCCAACGACGACGACGTGCGCTTCCACCACGAGGTGCTAGTGCTGCGGGCAGTTTTAGTCACGTTGGTTAGGTGACGAGCCAACATTCTTAAGGAAGTAGGTTTTATAAAGTAGCTAATGGAAGTAAATGAGACGATGCAATTGGGACGAGACTTATACTAGGAAATGCAGCTATGCGAGAGAAGAGGCAAGTAACTAACTGTATCAAGGACTGTCAAGGACTAGAAGAGCTAAGAATCAAGGGCATGGTGCTTGTCAAATAAAAGAATGACAATTGGGAAGAAAAATGAATAAGACAATAAATGGTGTTAAAACAATAGCAGCAAAAAGAGAAAATCGCGATAACATTATCACAATACCATTTAATTGTAAATTTTGACTAAGTTCGGTTTTCTCTTTTACAAGAATCGGACACCATGGGCACCTATGTCGAGGACTGCTTGGAGAGTATGTACATGCTGCCGTCCGAGATCAAGCGTAATTTTGACCTGATGCGGGACTTAGACAAGGTGCATTCACCTGATTATATTCGCTCTTGCGCCTGTTCTAATGTCCATCTCCTTCCCATATACAGACATCCTATCCACTTTTCGAAGACCTTAAAAGTGAGCAAAAAGCGTACTTAATCGAATCTCGACAAAAGGTGCTTGCACGATGCAACGACACAACAAAAGGTGAACCTACTGAGCAAGAATTGCGAGAACTTATTGGCGCCAATAAACAACTTGAGAGCTTGAAGGAAAAACATGCTCTAGTTGTGCAGAAACTGGACGAGAAGATTGCTATTGCAGCTCAGAGTTACGATATTGTTGATCACCATATTCGTCGATTAGACAGAGAGCTGGAGAGTTATGTAGCACTTCTTAAGGCCAATGGTGAGTATCAAGAAGATAGCAGACCCCAACGCAAGAAACAGAAGATGACTACTGCTACTACAGTACATCAATTGTACCACACTAATCAGAGCCATGCAACACCTCATATGGCCAATGTTCGCAGCAAACACAATACAGTTGCAGCTGCTAGTGCTGGTATGAAGGACAAGTCAGCAATATCGGTGGTGTCAAAAGCTTTGAGTGGAGGAAGCTCATCGTCGAGAAAGAAAACGGTTGCAGAGACTACTGTGGCGGTACCAGTTGCGACAGATCAGGTGCTTTTGGCCTCGGAGGATCTACCCATTGACCCAAACGAACCTATATATTGCAGTTGCCGACGTGTGTCGTTTGGGCAAATGGTGGGCTGCGACAACGACGACTGCAAGTATGAGTGGTTCCACTTTGGCTGTGTGGGACTCACGGACCAACCGGCAGGCAAGTGGTACTGTCACGATTGCAAGCCTCAGCTGGGAATCAAGTAAGTAGCTATTTGCACTTGAGACGGACATTAAATATTGCATACGGTATATTCGAGATCGAACTTAATCACATTTTGTATGAGTCGTTGAATATTATAATTTTGTTTTCTCTTAAGAAAATGGGGGGTTTTTCCCACGAGCACAGATACAACATCACGCCCTAGATGTTTCACAGCCCTGCTGTGTAAAGTTGCATTCTTGTCGCACAGCAGTATCAGGAATATTAACATGCATTTGGCTGTCACCAATATCAGAATATCAGCACGGTCACCAATAACACTTGTTTGAGCGGAGAAGCATTCCAAATGATGCCTTCTTTTCATCTCAGCCTGACAAAACATGCTGAATGATGAAGATGTTGCCGCAATACGTACATTATAAGCGACTATGAGGGCCTTAGGAACCATGTGTTTGCTTACACTGTCATCCGTAACCTCGATGCTGTTTTTTCTAAAGGATTTGCATATGGCTACACGACTCGATCTACTGAGCGTCACAGTGCCTAGCTCCACTTCAAGCTTACACATGAAACTATGTGAGTGTAGTACTATTGCGTCACGTGAGACTTGCTCATGCGCGCAAAGAAGCGCCGCCCATCGTTCTTCCTCATCATTGGTTTAATTTCGAATTGCCTCGACTCCTCAGATCTGAGTACACCCTACAAAAATTGACTGGCCACCATTAGCTCCTCACTCACCGTTTTGCTCAAAGAACTTAACTAGACCACTATCTACCATGGCCTCCAAGATCGTCAAGCCTGCGGGCCAAACTCCCGATGAATTCGAGCTGCAAGTGGCTCAGGAACTTTTCAACCTGGAGCAGTCCACTGCTGAGATTAAGAACGACCTGAAGGATTTGCACATCACTGCTGCCAAGCAGGTGGATATCTCCTCGGGTCGCAAGGCCATTGTCATTTTTGTGCCATTCCGTCTGCACGCTTCGTTCAAGAAGATTCAGGCTCGCCTCGTGCGCGAGTTAGAGAAGAAGTTTTCTGGCCGTCACGTTGTGATCATCGCCCAGCGTACCATCCTTGGCAAGGGCTACTCTCGCGCCAACCACGGTGCCGGCCCACGCCCTCGCTCGCGCACGCTTACCCACGTGCAGGAGCAGATTCTTGACGTACGTTATTCTTGCCATGAGTTTGTGAATGTCTTTTCCATTGCAACTAGAGAAATTCGATGATGGCCTCTGGGCTCTAGCCACCCCATGCCGTATGCTCATGTTAGTATTCTCTTTGTGCCATTCTGTTCACAGGACCTCGTGTTCCCCACTGAGATCGTTGGCAAGCGTACTCGCTGCCGTCTTGATGGCTCCAAGCTGTTGAAGGTCCACCTGGACCCGAAGGATCAGGTTAACGTGGAGACCAAGCTCGACACGTTTGCTACCGTGTATAAGAAGCTGACTAACAAGGACGTTGTGTTTGAGTTTCCCGTGATGGAGTAAGTTAGTGGTTGAGTGTGGGCTCTAGTCTTACCTTTGTGAGAAAGACAGTGAGCTACCTCCTGCTAGGAAGTTTTAGTCATGAGCAAGACGCCTTCAAAGCCAGACGAGTAAATCGCAATACACAAGTTTCGCTTTGGCCAACACTATTGTAGTTCTCTTACCGATGAAACTGTACGACCACTTTCAACACAATATGCCTTCATCTTGCTGTTCTATTGCTATTTGTCTGCGCTGCATAGCGCTATTTTATCGCCCGTCATCGTCGTCGTCTGCCAAGTCTTGAAGCAAAATCTTGAGTGCGTCGATAGCACCGACATCAAGAACACTAAAAGCTCCCATTGCCAGATCTCGAGGAATCTAATTGATACAACAAGTGCACAATCGTTTAGTTCATATACTTGCAGTATACTTACGCCCTGTAGCAACTTTCTATGGTCTCACCGTCTCAAAGTATCGTGCACGCCCAAATGTCTGCTTCTGCTGGTTAGTAATCACGCTCTCTTCCCGTGCCAAGTCACATACAGTTCTTCTAGTCCCCTCAGATCTTTTATCTAACGTCCGTACTCTCTGCTGCTTCTGAGCGTGCCGTGTAGCTGCTCGTCGTACTTGCCGTGCGCTTTGGAACAATCCACGTGCAGCACCTTGAATCATAATAGTACAGTATAGCCAAAGCCAATGAATGACCAGCAGGGTCGACCAGCTTATTTATATACAATAGAAGGCTGCTAGACCGCTTATGACAGGTTTCTATTTATTTGACTTACATTCTTTTTCTAATTAAACTAATCCGAAACGTTCAATTTAGAAACAAACGGCACTCCGTGATTTAGCCACAACTCTATTATAAGTTAGAAATGCACTTGATGACGATATTCCGCTGCACGCGCATGGCTGCCCAGCACGCTCGCCTTGCTAGTAGTGCTGCTTCCGTGCAAGTGACACGATCAAAGCGTGGTTCTCGTCTTGCGGCGCTTCGTGAGCGTCTCACAGACGAGGCGCGTCAGGGTCCGACCTTTTCCGAGCAGGCGCTATCGCTTGAGGACTTTTCATTTGAGATCGAAGACGCGCCTGGTACGAAACCCTCACGTAAACCAAATGCATCTAATCGCAAACCCAAGTGGCTGAAAGCGCAGCCTACGAAAGGTACCAACTATGAGCGACTGCGCAAGACCGTCAAGAGTCTTGGTCTCAGCACCGTGTGTGAAGAGGCCAAATGTCCAAACATTGGAGAGTGTTGGGGTGGAGGCAAAGACGGCGTAGCCACAGCAACAATTATGCTAATGGGGGACACATGTACGCGTGGCTGTAGCTTTTGCGCTGTCAAAACTAGCAAGAAGCCGTTGCCGCTGTACCCTGAAGAGCCAAACAAGGTAGCAGAAGCTATTGCCGCCTGGGGACTCGATTACATCGTCTTTACGAGCGTCGACCGCGATGACTATGAGGATTTTGGTGCTGGTCACTTTGCCAAGACGGTCATCACACTACGTGCCAAGCTGCCGTCGATCCTGATCGAGTGTCTGACACCAGATTTTCAGGGCCAGGACAATCTTATTGACCAGGTGGCAATGTCAGGTCTTGACGTCTTTGCGCACAACTTGGAGACGGTAGAGCGGCTGCAGCGTCGTGTGCGTGACTACCGTGCTAATTACAAACAGTCGCTGCACGTGCTGGAGCGGGCCAAGGCAGCTGCACCTCACCTTGTGACCAAGACGTCGCTGATGCTGGGTGTTGGTGAACGCAACGAGGATTTATTCCAGACACTCCGTGATCTGCGCAACAGCGGAGTGGACGTTGTGACGTTTGGTCAGTACTTGCGTCCCAGCACAAAGCACATGCCTGTCAAGTCGTACGTGACGCCCGAAGCCTTTGCCGAGTGGCAGAAAGTGGCTGAGCAGATGGGCTTCCTGTACGTAGCAAGTGGACCGATGGTGCGCTCCAGCTATAAGGCTGGTGAGTTTTTTATGAAGAATCTGCTCAAGAACCGCAAGACAGAGCAGGTTGTAACCTAAGATGCTTCCAAAAAGACCGTCAACGTGCTGTTTATGCGATAGAATAGCGCGATGGTAGCGTTACACGCAAACGAACGTCTGCAAGATGCCTAAAAACAAAGATACAATACAACATCTCATCAGCCATTCGTCGATTTCTTGCAATAAGCTAGACTTTGTGTTAATATCTACATGTGAAAGTTCAAGTTAAAGCTTTCACAAGCGAAGCCGTGAGTAACGACCGCGTGACACCAGTACATGCGTCCGTACAGAGATCCACTGCCTCCTGTAGCTGCGTATGGTGAATCTTGCCAGCTTGTAACATGTACGTGACCTGTCCCATCGACGGCATGTACGCCAGCGCAAGCATGCCATCTCCACGTTGTTCCTCTTCCCTGCTCGGATCAAAGATCACCGACCCTTTAACAATACCCTACAAGTAGCGCAACAACCATCACTTATCAGCTTCATCACATTGCTCGCTCCAAAACAAGACACCAATTGCTTAAACTCACTGCACTAGCAGCCGTGACCATATCATACATCTCTACGGCAGCATCAGCAAGGGCCAATGACGCACAATTTATAACAGAAGCAAAAACTCCTCCATCATCCTCCAGTATCGTCACAAACACCGACAAAATGCACTTGGGCAGCTTATGTAGCATCACAGCAGGGGCCAGCGCCTCCTGCACAATAGCCGACAGCTCCATCTCGTCTGGGTCCTGACCGCGCTCACGACGAGTCAATTTGTCGGCAAATGGTGCATACTTTACATCACAGACTAGCTGTCCATCCTTGCTGAACTCACGGCGTGCACGTGTGTCTGTCCGCGGGCCGTAGACAGCACAGACCACTCGGGTTCGACCCAATTCGACGTATGCCGACCCAGCAGCGCCACTTACAGCACCCAGTTGCATCAATGGACGTCTCATCTCGTCGGAGCTTCCACGTGACTTATCTAGACGCTGCATCGGCGCGTCATCGTCCACAGGAACGGGTAGCTGCGGCTGCACAGGCAACGGGTAGTAGCAATTCTGCATCTTTACTGGCGAATGGCTGCCAGTGCCACACCAAATATGTCTCTGACACATAAAATTACTACCTTTAGAAATGATGCAACCATTTCATCACACCCAAAAAAAAACAGGAGGACATTTGATACCGAACAAGACGATGGCGAAGAGAGCAAAGGCGGATGAAGTGTCAGTGACGAGTACCGAAGTGTTGAGTATTCCCCGTACGTAATCATTACACAATGTGCAGAGTCTTTTGGTCTATGTGTTAATGTTTGCTTGAGTGCAGTTTTGGAGACCGTGAAGGCTGCGCAGTTGCAAAATGGATTGCGTCATCGTGACTTTCAGCGCTATCGTCAGTACTGTGCGCGCCGTTTGCGTCGTATCCGCAAGTCTGTGAAGTTTACGCATGGAAAAGGGAAACAATTTATCAACAAGAAGGTGAACGCTGAGACGGCGACGGAAAACCGTCTGCTGTACTTGCCACTGTACAATGCCGAGCGGGCGTGGGGTTACGCGATGCAGCTCAAGGAGGACGATAATTTGGACAAGTCAGAGAACCGAGAGGACGGCAATTCCCGCATCAAGTTTCACTTGAATGGACGTCTTCGCAAAGCTGCAGACTGGAGTCAGAAACTGGCTGAGATCTGCGCAGTCCGTGCTGATGCCCGCACGAGTTTAGAGGCGGAGGCTTATGCCGCTTACATGGCTGGTAATTTTGCCTTCCATCGAGAGGAGCATGTGGTAGCATTGGAGAAGTTTAAGACAGCACGTCGCATCTACGCGGACCTGTCGCAGGTGGGCACGTCGTCACAGAAGGAGCTGTTTTCGCGCTCGGCAGACGATCTGCAGCCGTTTATCCGCTTCTGTGAGCACCGACTGACGCTGCGAGGACGTACGGCTAGCACGGCGGAGGCTTCGTCTCTAGAGTTGCATTCAAGTGGCGAAGGTGCTAATAGCGCGTTGCTGCAGTCGAAGATCGACCTGGTGCTACTGGAGGCGCGGAAGCAGAAGGTAGCAAATCTGGGATCTGTGGAGTGGAAGCAGCAGCATCTTTCGATACCGACACAGGAGATTGGTTTGGCAATGATTCGCACGGACGAGCTTGCTGCCAAGTTGGAGGCTGCGCAGGATAATAAGGCACGTGAGGCACGTTTTCTGGAGTTGTTGAGTGCGTATGACGCACTACTGCAGACTCTGAAGAATGCAACGGCAAAGTTGGAACAACAGGCTAAGAGTGGCAGTGCACTAGTGCACTCAGACCTGGAACTGCTGTCTGCTTTGGAGGAGTACGCGCGCTTTAAAAAGCTTACTAAGCAAGTGGAGCGCCAGGCTACTGTGTACAGGACACTCAAGCAACGTCTTTCGACCCAGCAGCCTGGCGAGCTCACGCATATTCTCGACATGCTAGTTCAGACTGTTGGCGATATTCTGACCATTCCTGGTATGCGTGAACTGGAGCAGCGTCGTGCTACACAATACAGCGCGTACTACGCAGTGTTCCGTGCCTGCCGTGCTACAACGGTTGCCCAAACCTATCTTCTACAGCACAAGTTTGGTGAAGCGATGGCTCTGTACCAGTATGCGTCGGGATTTTTGGCTGAAGCTGAAGAAATCTTGGCTGCGCAGCCTGCAGCTAAGGACGACATGTTGCAGGAGTTCGCGTGCGAACTACAAGAGGAGCTTGCGGGTGCTGTTAGTCGTACGACAGCAGAAAGTTTTTTGGAGTCTTCCACTCGCGCGGATGCGATGCGTTTGGAGCTGGAGCAGCTTTCCTTGTCCATTGAGGAAAATGATAAAAAGAGCAAGAATCGCAAAAAACGTCAGGTTTTGTGTCTGATGGATCGGCAGGACAAGTTTGAAGCTGGTACTATGGAAGGCCATCGCGAGTTGGTAAAGCTGATGCCCGATTTCCACGCTGTGCCTTGCAAGCCACTGCTGTTTGATGTGGCATTTAACGAACTCGAGTTTCCGGACCTGACGGAGCGCACTAAGACAGAATCCGAGAAGGCAGCCGAGGCTACAGCTACAGATGCCAACGAGAGTGGCGGGAGCTTCTTCGGCTGGTTCCGCAAGTAAACGCGCTGACTGTGGTAAGAAGGAGGAACGAGAGGTGTGAGCGACTCTTTGAGTTATGTTGATCATGACAAATGCGATGTTTACAACCATTTTTCTTGCAGATTTTCACGATTTTGTTCCTCCATTGATCTGAAAAAGTGTGTGTATCAATTATCGACTTCATCTTTTCCTTCTGCGATTCTCTGCAAGTCTTTTTCAAAGTCACGTCGTTCTCTCGCGTCTAGCTCTTCATCAGTTAATGCCGGTGACACGCGGCCAAGTAGACGGAACCATAACGGAAACCAGATAGCAATGTAAGCCAGCCATCGGTTGATTTCACTGAAATAATCCGTCGTCTCGTAGAAAATAGTACAGGCGATACCCACAATGCCAAAAATGAGCACATGGTGACGGTCCTGTAACGGCCCATAGTCCGGAATGTCGTCACGCTTCCAGGGCGCTATAGGCTCAAACTCCTTACGGTAAGCGGCCTCTTGACGCAAAAACTCGTCCATGCCATCATCGTCCAGTCCATCAACTGGAGGAATGCCATGAGGAAGTTCGACTTTCGATACACGTCGACTCATGGTGTTGGCAAATTAGTCTAGTCGTAATGTGACGCTAATGTTTCCTGATGTACGTGCAATTCCCTGCAACTTATGGCGTGTTTATGTCGAAACAGCAATTCAAAGCTTCAGTTGCTCTCTCTCACCTAGCAACTTTATCGATTAAACGTTGCGTCAATTAAACTGTGTGCATCACTTCAAACAATAATGGAGAAATACAGTCGATGGGCAGACTTGTCGACGGGTATTAACCCGTTTGTGCCTCAGCATCGGCGCTTTACATCTGGATGGCCGATAACTATTCTCCAGGTAACATCTGGCTCTCTCTTAGCGCTGATACGGTTCCCATTGGTATTTGTGTTCACCGTCGTGCTTGGTTTACTTAATATCGTGGTGTCCATTTTGGCCGTCATTCCGTTCCTGGGACGACTGCTAAAGCGCTCGAATGAGTGGCTATTGTGTTCTTTGCTGCTTCTTCTCTTTGGTGTATATACTATGGAAGAATCTGCTAATACGCGTCGGTTGGGGCTTACTACGTTGAAAGCAAAGAGCTCCAAGGAATCGTCTCGCGTCGGACGTGGTGACGTGGTAGTCTGTAATTACACGAGCTTTTTGGAGATTTTGTACCTGTCTAAACGCTTCTCGCCGGTCTTTGTGATTGCTACAGAAGGAAAGAGTAATGATGAAAGCCGTGTGCACGTCTGTGGACTGATGGAGGCGCTGTATTGGTCTTTGGCGATGCCTGTGAGTGCTAAACGAGTCAAGCCCACGAGAAAGCTTGCAGACGTCGTGCGTCGAGCTTCTGGACCTGTTGTGGTGTTACCAGAAGGAGCTCGTAGCAATGGAAAAGCGGTATTGAAGTTCGTCCCTGTGCTGCAGACCCTGCCGGTCAAAACCCGTGTGCATCTTGTGGCGTTCCGCTACGAATACAAGCGTTTTAGTCCGAGCCACACTATTGGCGGTGCGTGGTCTCACCTCTTCTGGACTGCTTTCCATCTCTACCATACAATGCGTGTGACGGTGTTGAATGCGAAAGACTTGAAGCTGGATGAACTGACTCCGGCCAAACTCTCGAGCAGTAAGAGCAGCAAAAAACAGGAAGACTCCAAGACGCTGTCCACGGATCAGGTGGAAAAGCTTCGCTCGCTTCTGGCCGCTATGCTACGCACCAAGACGGTTGATTTGGGTCCGGAGGATCTTTTGTCTTTCACGAAGTACTGGAATCATGTGAACAGTGGTGGACGGCACCCAGCGTCACAATTTACGGACCGCAAGGCTCCTCACGAGCATGCTCAGTGGGCCAAGAGATAGATGGAATAGTTACATACAGGCAGCCTACGATGTGCGCATGGTGGACATGCATAGTTAGCGAGATGGTTGCTGTCTAAAATGGAAAGAGCCTTCCTGCGCAGTTGTTTGGATTTTGGGTTGTCTCCATTTGCATATTATTTGGCAAAAAGCTAATCTACTTTTCAAATCAAGCCAGCTTCATTAGAAGCTCATAAACCCCAATTCCCAGCTCTACAGAAATGAGGATGATGATGTACCACTCGAGTCGTTCGCCCTTATGGGAATCCAACACCTCCAAGAAAAACTGCACAAAACATCTGTGTCAGCTACTCACTCGTGCTCACCACAACCACTAAAGCACACAACCTACCTTGGTATTGTGCTGAATCAATTCCAGTTTAAAATTGAGGTTCTGGAAACGCTCGTTTAGCTCGAATTCTTCGAGCAGTGACTCCCACATGTTGTGATATCTTGTTTGACTCCAGGCCGGGTCGCCGGGTCTTTTTCGGTCGATCACACGCAACTTGCTCACCAGATCGATCAGCAATGTGTTGTTTGACGCCACAATCTTAAATAACCGTTTTGTCTGTTCATTTTCACGACCAAACAGTGCACCTCGGGGGCCCTTCTTCTCCACATCCGTGTTGAGCTTTTCAAACTCGCACAAAATCGTCTCGCACTGACGCTCATAAAACTCAAGAGCGACCGTCTGTGAGAGCACACCAGCAATCACGTGTACGTTAATATGGTCGATCTCACGCACCAACACATTGTTCTCCACCAGTGCGCTCCATTTCTTTTGCGCCGGGTCGCCAACCAGCAGCAATTCTTCCTCGTGTCCACGTAACTCAAACACATCGCTACAGAAGCGTGTGGCGTGCTTAATCAGCGTGTTTACCAGCGCCTGATCACAATTGAAAAATACTACAGCTCCATAGTCAAAGTATACTACCCACTTATCAATACCACGTCGAGATGTGACAGTCTTGCCTCCAGATCCGATGCTCAACGTCGAGACAGCGTCAACATTGTTACTAATGCAAGAACCTTTTAATATTGGCGGTGCTACACCCGTGACGAGTCCGTCATGACCATTGTTCTTTCTACCACTGAGTCTTAATACAATGGAGTCCTTGTGCAGGTAGTGAGTGACTTTGAATCTGTCTGTGTAGAGCTTCTCAAAGAGATTAGCAATGTCCATCTTTCGAGCAATATGGACAGCTCGAATAGGCATATGCTGAACCCTTTTAGCCATCTGTCGTTTCCGTGCTTGTTCTTCTGCAGCTGCTATGGTAGCATCCACCTCGTCAGCCGTTGGAACTGGTGGCAAGTCTAATTTGTTTACATTGAGACCTTCTAGAGCTGTCTGAGACGACGTTGCGAAGCCTTTGCGCTGCGAATTTTGCTCGTAGAACGACAATAAATTGGATACAGATGAAGGATATAATTGTAGAGATACTGCCAAGTTAATTGAACCCCTTCGGGCACTACATTGAGCTCCCACACGTCGCAGCAAATGCATGACAACGATCCGATTCGGCCTGTGGCTGAGCTCGACTCGAAAATTATGTACGTGATGTACACCACATGAGTTATGTTTGACAACCATTTTAAAATTAAATCATCCAATCAGAACGCATAGCTTCCACTATCTTGTCATTTGGTACATGGTAATCGCAATGCACGAGTTCCCCGAAGAGCCCGTGCCGCTTATCACGTTTAGCGAAGATGAAGAGCAGCTCAAGATCAATGAAGAATCTGTAGAGCTTCTACGTCGTATCGATGGCCATATAGCGGTTGTGGCTATGGCTGGTCTCTATCGTACAGGCAAAAGCTCCATGCTTAATTGGTTGCTAGACAGACAGAGCGGATTTCGTGTGGGACCCACTATTGAGCGCTGTACACGTGGTATTTGGCTCTGGGGTCATCCACAGAAACGAACGATGGCTAATGGAAAAGATGTTTGGGTGCTTATGCTAGACACGGAGGGCATGGGCGGTCTTGAGGCTTCACAGCAGTACGACGCACGTATTTTCTCATTGGCTACGTTACTGTGCTCCAAACTTATTTTCAATAGCCAAGGGAGTGTGGATGAAAAAGCCATTGGTGGATTGAGCTTTATTGCCAACTTGGCGAAGCATATTAAGTTTAGTGCTTCGGTGGATGAGAAAGAAGACGAAGACGTGATGCAGTTCCACAATTTCTTCCCGTCTTTCTTGTGGGTGGTGAGAGATTTTACATTGGAGCTGGTTGATGAAGATGGCGACGAGATCTCGAGTAGTGACTATCTAGAGCGAGCACTGGCAGACCAGCCACGCACTCCAGCCAATATGGAGCGCAACCGGATCCGCGCTATGATGAAAGATTTTTTTCGTGAACGCGACTGCGTCACACTGGTTCGTCCTGTGCACGACGAGACGAAATTGCAGCAGGTGGACGCGATGCCGATTGAAGAGCTTCGTTCAGAGTTTCAGCAGCAGCTCAGTGACGTTAAGCGGATCGTGTATGGCGACAGTTTACAGCCCAAGATGCTGCAGGGCAAGCCTTTGAATGGCAGCATGTTCGCCGGCTTGTTGCAAGCCTACGTAGCTGCAATTAATAGTGGTGGTGTTCCCGTTATTACGTCTGCGTGGGAAGGAGTGACTGCGAGTGAGTGCCGCAAGGCGATGGCCATCGCTTCTGAAGCGTTTAAGAAGAGGCTCAGCTCTCTGGACCTGCCTCTTGACGACGAAGACCTAATGGAAGCAATCCAGGATGCCGAAGAGCAAGCTGTGGCACACTACCGTGCTGCTGCGCTCGGAGATAGTGCGTCGAATCTGGAGGTTGATCTACGCAAGCGTATGGAAGACGACAAGGCTGCTTGTGCACGCAACAATGTAGCCCAGAGCAAAGAGATGTGCGAACGCTTGCTCCAGGTGCTTTATGCCGAACAGATTCAGCCAAAGCTGACCTCTGCCAACGACAACGACTCGGGCGGCTTTGCTGACATGCAACAGTTCTCGCGCGAGTGGTTGGCATTCCGTGACGCTTACTTGAAAAAGGCTCGTGGCGGTGCTAAACTTGAGTGTTTGTTGACCTTCTCCGAGGCCAAGTACGCCGAGGCCATGCGAATTCTCTTGAGCCGACAGGAAGAAGGTTACGAGAAGAAAATTAGAACACTCCAAGGCGATGTATCGAAGGTAAAGGAGGAACTGGGCAGCGTTGGTGGCCGAGAGCAGATTTACAAGGAACAGATCGAGCAGATGCAGGTACAGTCGTCGCAGATATTGTCTGAAAAGGCACGTTTTGAGGCCGAGGCTGAGGCTCAACGTGAACGTATCGCTGACCTAGAGAGCATGCTGCAAGACGAGGCCGCGACGAAGCAGCACGTAGAGATCGAGCGCGAATCAACTGGTCTAAAACTCACGAGTGAGACGCAAAAGCGCGAGGAAATCGACAGTGAGCTAGCGCGCATGAAATCGGAGTACGACCGCATAGTTCAGGAGAAGGAGCGTCAGGAGATGGAGCTCAATTTATTAAGCGAAGAGTGCCAACAGCTGCGCAAGGGCCAGACTTGCGGCTGTGTCATCTCCTAAGCAGTATGCAGATTCCGTCGTAATGTAGTACACCTTATTGACATGATGCTTATTCTAGATAACCCATCAACATTATCATCTTCTACACGTCGTCCATTGCCTTATGAAGTCAGTTGTGTCTACTGCGGGCGGCGATTGGGCGTCAATGGCGACACGTAAGCTTTAAGCTGTAATAAAGAGAGTTATCAACCAGATATAAATAACAGTAGGAAGCAGTTAAAGGTAGATAGACGCACTTTAAACCCCGTGAGGTCGGGCACCTCGAGCTGCAGGAGTTTGTCCTGGTCTACGACGTAGCGTCCGCGTTTGGCGTGCGTTCCTTCATTACGGCATCCGTTTCCTTTGTAGAAGCGACGATTAGCACGTTTACTTGTTAGTGGGCGAAGGGAATGCGAGCGTCCAAACTTGCTCTTGCGTGCAAAGCCCGTTATTAGTCCGTCCAACAGGCCCATAGCTTCTTGATTGACAAATGTTTCGACTGCCAGTAAATTACGGAGACTGATGTGGTGCACATGACCATCGTGTAAAAAAAGCCTGATTAACAGGATTGTATACAGTCATTAATACTGTGTATACACGCTCCTTAACAAGTAATTCTAAAAAATAACTGATCAAGACAGTAATAGTATATATTCTGACTTATCAGGACTTTTTATTATCTATTCACCATAGATGACCCGGCTGAGATAAACCGTTTGGCAGCAACTACCCAATCAATAAGATCACTCTGGTCCGGGCACTGAAAAGTCAGCTTTCGAGAGACTCCCACTCGCAACATGCTGCTTAGTAACCCAGACGGCGGACTCACTTCCGTGATCTCAAAGCTAGGCGTTGTGCTCTTTCCCAATATTTCAATGCGACAGTTTGTCAAATAAACCGACTGACTGATGACATCCGTATTCTGTTCGTTCGTGGCAATGGCCATCAACATGGCCTCTGTCGACTCCAAGATGGACCGGTTCGTATTCACCTTCAGATCTAGCAGATGCAAACATCCGTCCTGCGTAATGGCGCACAAAATCTCCTTCCAGGACGTAAATAGCGAGCCGCTCACTTGGTTTTTCAAAAATCCACAACGCACGAGCAACGGACTCACAATGGGAGACCGCAGGGTTGAAAAGAGTTTAGCATCCGTGTCTTCAGATGCTGATAATGCTGCTGCAGTAAACTAGATACATGGTACAAAGAATAAAGACCGTGAGTCAGAGTGCGCGCCAAGCACGTAGCAAGATACGTACATTTTTCGGTATCCTTCGCACACTTTGTACCAAATCTCGTCCTGGATCGATCCTCTACGTTGCAAAATGCTGTCAAGTCCGGCAACAGTACCCAACTATCTTCATATAAAAACAGTTCAGTGTTTTTCGTACCTGTGTAACAACCAAAGGTTCGGTCATTGCGCCCGCCATCTCGCTATATGTGAGCTTCTGTTTGCGAATATACGTGTCCAGCGCCGTCTGAATCACCGACGCTCGCCATACCTCCATCGTCTTATACTGCTGGAACAGTGCCGACATTCCTGTCACGTACTCTACACGACAATACTGTAGCTTCTGTACATTAATACAATAGTTCATCTCCGCCAGCCAGAGGTCCTGTCGTCGTGCAGCTGAATCCACTCTCTCCAGACTAGTGACATTCTCCTTCTCACTTTCCATCTGATTACACAATTCATCAAACTTGGCAAATGATGTCAGCACGTTCTTCTGCGACTGGAACAACATGGCATCAAGTTTTTCCCCTTCAGCCAACATTGTTGCCACTTTCTCCTTGAACGTCGCCGTCATCTCTTCTAACGGCTTCGAAGTCACTTCTCTCTTCACAACCGTCGTCAGCTGCACAAGTTTCTCTGCCAATTGTTGCTGAACTTCTCCAACTGCATACAGCGCTTTAGACACAGATGATTGTACATTTAACTGTTCGCTATGAGTCAGACCGTTTGTGTCCGTCGTTCCCTGCGTCATCGGCGCATCCAGCACCGCACGCGTTTGTCTTAGAGAATCTGCATACGTCAAATCAGCCTGCAATCGCAGTGTAAAAAAGCGCAGCAACCGCGCGTTCTCATCGCCGCCGTGGCGAATTTCTTCTTGGAACTGCCGCCAATAGGCGCGATCTCGAGCCTGGAACTTGTCGATCTGAGCACTGCGCTGGGCTTCAAACGCACGTAACTTTGCGCAACTTTCGCGTTTGATTCGCCATACGTCTTTGCTAATAGGTGTCAATGCTGTGGAGGGATCTGATGGCACTGCGGACGTGTCAGCCGCAGCAGACGACGCCATTATTACGCTGCAGTATTTACACGTTTCGTCGCTATATAAAATTTAACGTTTCAAAGTTTAATTATTACATACATGAGTCACTAAAACAAGTAAAAAGTAGAAAGGTAATAAATGTTTATACGCACATAATTAAATTACCCAAAATAAGTCTTCCCTTAATCTTTACTGTAGTCTGCTGTATCCAGGTGGTGAGAGACAATAAAAAGAGAGCTAAGGTAGTCGTACATGCTTTTTTAGACGTACGTCTACTTGACGAAATACAGATGCGAGCGTTGGGACCCGATGCAAAGTAGTGTCTGCATAAGGTTTCTTAAGGACGAGCATTACCTGCAAAGTGGTGGGCTAGAACATGTAGACTGTGAGCCCTGCTATCATGCGCTTAGTCGATCACTTAAAAGTGTGAAGGCTAAAATCATTTGAGCTTATCGTGTTTTGTTCGTCATGAACACCACGGCGTTTGAGAAAACATACATGTAAACTTTCTCAGATTAGCAAGTATAGTTCTGGTATTGATACATGAGATGATCATTAGATGCCTAGACGGCAACCGAGGATGCAATTTAGCCCGCAGAGTTTAATAGCTATTGACAAATTGGGAAGAAGCCGTAAAAAGGAGGCATAGTCGAGGAAGCGTGCACACAAGGTAGCCACAATCATGAATGGCGCAAGCAAAATAAGTCATTTTTGTCAAAGGAAGTGAATTGACGCTTTGTGAAGCACGACTGGCTTTCGAAGAAGGAAAGCCTACAAATTGCTATTGCTGCTTATGTTTCTCTGACACTCACTTACCGCCATGGCTTCGTCTAGTGTATTAAAGAAACCATCCAGAGATGGAAATCGATCAACCGAGCGTCTTATCAAAAGCAACAAGGCGGTTTATGCTAGCTCTTAGCAGATATGGCGTCACGTCTTCAGTTGAGGCATATATCTCCAACTGCAATTGCATACACTCGCTCGGACTGTTTAATGGAATAGTGTGACAGTTGCAGCAAATTGCAAATGGTATTGTAAAAGTCACTCTGGACTTTATATGTCAGTATATAGTCAGTGTTGGCACAGAACCTGTCAGACATAACTATTCGGCAGTAACGCGATATCTATCTCGACAAAGTCTTGGAATACGCTTGCATAATCCGCACTCAATCACGACCCCACAGCCATGGCACAGCATTATGCGGGACGTAAAGTCAGCCATAAAATTTATTGTTTCCAGTGGTTATTAATTCTTCACACAACCCAGGACGTCTAAAATGTCGAGTACTAAAAAACTGTCCTGATCATGGATGACTATAAGCATATCTCCGCTTCTAGTATTCGTTCCACGTGCCGAAATCAGCCAGTGATGCTTGTAGGTGCCGGCTAGTAGATGCTCGATTAGTTTCCATCAAAATTTAGGAGAAGAGTTGGTGTGTCGTATCCCAAGTCAAACGCTGGTTCGAGGCGAGACGATACTGTTGTGTTGGCACATACAGTTCAACACATTCGGAAGCTTCATTCCCATCGAAGCACCTATCTCGATATGTAAATAGGTTGACCAAGCGTCGGTCGTAGCGCAAGTGTGATGAACTGAAACATAACGATGACCATGCATCTTGTTTGTTACAAGGCATACTGCGGCAATAAAAACCGAAACTCAACGTTTGATCATATACACGCAACTCTTCTGCACTTAATGCAAAGCTGTTATTGGCAGCGTCTCGTTAATAACATTGCCGAAACAGCGTCAACGCAATGAGCACTTGGTCACAAGCTGGTTTGCTGATAATAATTGAAGAGTACTGCCGTTATGCTAATTTTGCAGTTTCGCGGACGTGAAAGGCTCATATGGCAGCGCAGTGTCGGAACGATACTGCTTGGATGTAAACTAATGCGCCTTTTTAAGATCAAAAGTAGATGACTAGTGTAAGGGAGAAGCCAGCCCATCCAACGACATTCCAGTAAGCTAACTGAGTTATCAGCAAGAAACAAGTCAATAAACTACACTATTTGCGACGCTTGAGAAACGAAAGGATCTTGGCGTGAGTGTTTTTCTATCGACTGTCGTACAGTTCAGTTGGTCTGGCCAGTGAGATGAGATCTCAATACAGCGACGCTCAATTAGCGGTTACTAAATTCCAATTCACCTGTCAACAGACAATTAAAATCGCAGCTTAGCAGACTTGTGTTCTTCTTGCATTGGTTCTTTAAACTTGCGGTCTTGTGACACAAAATTGAGTGCTCGAAACTAGTAAACAATCGAGTCGAAAGGCGGCTACAACGAACCGCGCGAAACCTCCATCGACCAATCAACCTGTCGCAAGACAACTCAGCCAGGATCCCAGGCGGCACTCTAGGATTCACCACGGACACCATGAACAGCTCCACCAATACCTTGTCGGCTTCGATCACATCGGCGTTGGCGCTTAAGCCATCGACTGTATATATATTGCGAATTCAAAACAGCAGCAGCCGACAGAGTTGGCACATCCGCCGCTGTTTTTCGGAATTCTGCGAGCTGCGCGAAAAGCTCCTCGCCCTCATTGACGATCAAATGGCCACATACCTTACAAGTTTGGAAGTTGACAATACCACTAGCAGCATGTACACGACTAATTCTAACATCACTTCGAGTGCCAGCTCAAGCACCAGTACTTGCAACTCGTATCGTGGTGAAAAACATCGACAGTATTCCTCCCCACCCCCGTCAGATAGGTTTTGCTACGTGTTTAAACAGTTTCCACCCCGTAAGTTATTTGGCTCACGCTCCAAGCGCGTGATCGAAGCGCGATGCTTGGCTCTCAACCGCTTTTTGCAACAGGCACTCGATGTTGTCGAGGTCGTTCGTCAGCGCCGGCTGATCGCAATTTGCTTCAGCATGATGTCTCATATTGAAAGCTTTCTCGAGTGTAAAGCTCACCGACCAATCACGCGTGTTGCCCCACCAGGCAGTGTAGACAGCATAATCGAGATACTCGGTCGACAGGAATCTGTGTCACCCAGCGCAGCTAGGAGAACATCTGCTGCCATGTCACTTACCCCTGGTTTCCACCACTATCCGCTGGTGCCAACCCAAGCGTTTATCATGACTCTGAACGACCACCGACACCAGTCCAATGCTAGCAGGTACAACCTCAGCGCCAGCGCTGACGACGATGCCGGCAGCATTAAACAGGAGACCCAGCGCTTTAACAACTTTGACTTCACACAGCGATTCTACCGCGAATTTGGTCGTCAAGAAGAACGAACGGAAAAGTCTTGCAATGACTTAGACAATGACGAAAAGATGCAAATGCACAAAAAGAGTTGGAGCACCATGTTAGAGAGCGAATTTCGTGAGCGCAAATTGCATTACAGCGGCAGTCACTTTTCGATGTTGGAAACTAGACATTCGCGGGCTGAGGCCTGCGTGGGACGTGTCGAAATCGCGGGTGTCCACAACTCAGGCGAAATTGAAGCCAAGACAAAGGATCTTTCAAACTGAGTTACACAAAAGTGAGCAGCAATTGCATCGAGATCGTGCTCTACCAGTACAACACTACCCCATTGTGCATGAAAGAGAAGAAAGGTGTGATCCGTGAACAAGCAAGTACCCGACGAATGTAAATTAGCAAAGCAACAAGTTCCAAATGTCGAATGTATCGTACTGCAGTAGTGTTCGGCTAGAGCCACAGGTCATCGCTGGAAGTGACCATTGCTCTTGTAAGTAATGTAATAATCTCACAGTTTGCTTAAGCTTGTGGTGGCGTCATTGGATCAGGCACTTAATTGATGTGCAAGATATCGACAGGTGGCAATACTTCATGATGCTGCAGCCATCGCGACTAGCGGCGGCTTTTCATGTTGACTGATGGTGCTACGTTACGATTGCATAAATTTGAGATGGACGAACGAGCACATCAAAGAAAGCCAAGCAATATGGTGCAAACGATAACGTCATTTATGCACCGTGTCTTCCTCACTAGAGACAAGACAAGACAACACTACTTGTCCTTACGTGTGCGGCCGATCGGCTAAAAGATGATCGCATATTTAACAGCGACATATCTTACTTGCGCAATAGGACGATTTAGCAAGTCATCGAGTTGTAGCAGCTCCAGCAGCATTGAGTAATCACTGCATAATATAGATGCTCTTGCACTAATCTTCGTAGGCTGGAGTCATTCCGATGGGTTTTGTATCCGTTTGGTTCAGTATTCGGAAAACATGCGCAAATGACATTATTAGATCATGTGAAAGCTGGACCACTATGCCCGTGTCCAAGCCTTGCGATGTAGTTGACGTACACATGGCGAAATTGATTACGTTGATCGTAATCATTTTGTCACGGGTACAAGATGTTGTTTACTACACTACAACTCTTGGATAGTGGATGACAAGGAGATGATGCTACAGTATCAACAAAAAAGTATCCACTGCTACACGCCTGCACGCTAGCTGTGACACATCCGACGAGTTTTAACACTGAATTAACGTATTCGGATCCCAAGTACCGGGCTAAATACTTACGACACGATGTCTAACCTGAGGCTATAGACAAGCAACAGTATCCTCACTCCTTGCAAATCCTTTCGTTCGAGTCTCCCATCCAAACAATCTCGCTTGCGTCCAGATGCTCGCCGTAGTCGTTACTGAAGTCCAAAGCTGATTCCATACACAGCTGCATTTATTGCCAAACGATGTACGTGGCATCGTGCGTCTGTTGGTAAACGATTGCATTGTCCCATTTTACCTTTCCTTAGCTACTCTATAAGATCTACTTCCTAAGAATGTTGGCTCGTCAGCTCACCAACGTGACTAAGATTGCACGCAGCACCAGCACCTCGTGGTGGAAACGCTCGTCGTCGTCGCTAGACGTCCGGCAGGACGAAAACAAGAAGCCTGAGAATTTCCAGCTCGTGATCGTTGGCACGGGCTGGGCCGGCTACCAAATGTTCACGCAATGCCGCAAACACCTCGTAGATATCGAGGAGAACATTGGCCGACCCGTGGACCTCGTTATCGTCTCCAAGCGCAACGTACGTTTGCAGTCTCAGCTACCAATACTAGGCCCCACTCACTTAAAAGTTGTTCGATTGATTGCAGCACTTCCTGTACACGCCATTGCTGGCTAGCACGACGGTGGGGACACTGGGATTCCGATCTATTATTGAGCCGCTGCGTGACAGCATGCTCAGTCACGAAGGTGACTTTCACCTTGCCAATGTGCACAACGTCGATCCGGAGCATAAAGTCCTGAATGTCGAGTCGGCTATTAGTGCTGTGAGTTGCAACCGCAAGTACGACATCAAGTACGATGCCCTGGTACTGGCTTGTGGCTCGATGCCACTGACATTCGGACTGCCTGGTGTGGAAGAGCACGCTTTCTTTCTCAAGGAGATCCATCACGCGCAGAAGATTCGAAACCGCATTCTCGATAACTTTGAGGCCGCTACACAGCCAGGTGTGACACCGGTGGAAAAGAAGCGTCTGCTGCATTTTGTCGTGGTCGGTGGAGGCCCGACCGGCATCGAATTCTGTGCTGAGCTGTACGATTTCGTGCTGCAGGACTTAGTACACAAGTATCCGGAGACATCCAAGCATCTAAATGTGACGCTGGTGGACTCTGGTGAGATTCTGAGCGGATTTGACAAACACCTGCGTGCTGTGGCACTGCTTAAGATCGAGAAACGCAAAACGATGGAAATTATCAAAAAGAACTGCATTGAAGTCACAGCGAACGGAGTCACAGTTGAAGGTGGCGAAAAGATCTCAGCCGGTCTTGTCGTGTGGACCGCTGGAGTGGGACCGAACGAGCTCACCAAGTCTCTCACGGTGTTTGAAAAGAGCAAGTGTGGCAACATCTTGACTAACCAGTACTGTCAGGTGTTGGGTGCGCCTGAGATCGAAGAGAAGACCCCGTGGGGTATGCCACGCCGCTCCAACGTCTTCTCGATTGGTGACTGCGCCGAGATTTTGGATTATCCGCTGCCGGCCACAGCACAGAAGGCGCAGTCCCAGGCGAACTACCTTACTTCGCTGTTCCGCAGCAAGAAATCGGCGCCTGCAAAACCGTACACTTTCCACAGCAAGGGCATGATGGCGTACTTGGGTTCTTATGAAGGTCTTTTCGAGGCGCACCCCAGCGACGACGGCAGAATAACACTCACTGGCTGGAAGGCCTGGTTTCTGTGGCGTAGTGCATATTTGACCAAGTTGGGCAGCTGGCGACTCCGTTTGCAGGTGCCGCTAGACTGGCTTAAGGCGATTCTCGTTGGCCGTGATGTGTCCAAGTTCTAGATGGAAAAGCGCAGATATAGACACAATTCGTTTGACTAATGAGCTTTTCGTGCGCTTTTACTTCAGTTGTTTTCGTGCAGTGCGACTGCATTTTCTTGTCTTCTAGCTCTAGTTCAATTGCGGTCTGCGAGAAGATTGCGGACGCGACGAACCGTGCTTGGATCCTGCCTGTCTCGATCGATGCCGACGAAGCATCAAGATCATCCACAACTTTAGCAATCCAAGTTGTATCGCAGACAATATTCAACACTGCAGATGACGAACATTTAAGCTACCGGCAGAGGTTCCTCCTCCACAAAATCTTGTGCAACAAGCTCTGAATGCACATGGCACGTCGGTAATGAATAAAAAATAGCAACTGCTCATCTGTGGTTCTCAATTGCCTGCTCGCTGCTGGTCAGCGATAGTGTCGACAGCGTGCGTTTTATATAAAAGCGAATGCTTCATTATAACGAGGTGAGCAAGCAGAAGCTGCCGTTTGTCATAGCTACCAGACAACAAAAACATGGAAGCAATCGCAGTCGCCGGCCCTTATTAAACAAATTAAGCATTAGGGTCGTGCTCGTAGATGACCGTATAATCCAGAAACACTGGCACGGTCGACGGCTCACTGTGTGCAAACGATAGCTACCTCACGCATGCTACAGTATGTAGGTAGCGGTACAAAGCGAGTCACCATATGTTACGGGGTTACCACGCATAGATAGTGTAATGGGGTAACCTATTACATGAGTAGTTATAGGAATAATACATGCTTATATAAGCATAGGGAAGTATCCGATTAGCGGATACTGCTTGTGATTTCATTATTGGTTTCTTATTGGGGTGCCAGACCCAATAAGTAGCCAATAATAAATTGACTTCCATATTGAGTGGTTCCCATGACATATTCGCACTTACTGCGAATTAAAATACAACAAAAATAAATATAGTTATATTTACGAGTTAATTAAGAGCAACGCCCTTTTAGTGTAAGACGGTAACGGGACCTTAGCCCGTTACATGCTGAGCTTCCAGCGGATCGTGGTGTGCAGCACGAGATAGATCTTGTGCCAGGATCGAAATATTGCGTGACACGGTAGTGGCCATTACCGCGCGATCAAGTCATCGCTATCGATGAATTTTTCAAGGGTCGCCGCAAGGCTGGCCATGTCCGCGAGAGTATCTCGCCACATTCGAGCCCGACTTTCTGTGTGAAAAAAGCCACCGGCGGTTGGCGCATTGTGCACGCCTTCAACAAGTAGAATGACGCAACTATCCCGGCTCAAACGCCTATCCCTCGAAAAGACATGGTATACAATACCATGTCCGGGAGCGAGATCTACAGCGCCATGGATCTGACTGACGGGTTCCATCAGATCCTCATGAGGGACAGTGACATTCCGTTCACTGCGGTCAGCACCCCAAGCGGGATGATTTGGGAGTCATGCCACAAGGTCTTAAGAACGCTCCATCTATGTTCAATCGGATGGTGATGCAAGTACTTCGTCCGCTTCGCGACTTTGCACCGAGCTACTTTAATGACACTTTTGTTCACAGCCGCGCTAAGCAAAAGCTCAGCGCTACGGAGGTACACCTTCGACACTTGAAGCAGTGATGAGCGAGAATATATTATACGCAAATATGTGTCTGTGGTGGAGTGGGTTCTCAAAATTGTATGATGAGACCCCAAACCACTCACTGTGCCGGACTGCCGACTGTCGGAGGGGGTACCCCGATGCCGCGTATGAACCTTCTCTCACCTTGTGTACCCGTCGGCTGGCGGTTTGCACTCTTCGGAGGACTTGGTGACGATGTAGATGTCTGCCTTGAGGGAGGTAGACCTGGGGGGGCCTCGAGTGGATATGCTTCACTCGGTGGGCCGGTAGGTGGCCACTCGATCGACCTTGTCGAGAGTGGACTTAGAGCCAAATTCTTCAGGGGCACTTGTCGTCCCTGGCCTTTTCCTTCTGTTTCAGGGGTATTAACC